ATTTTGATATGTGTTTCGTTCAGAACTTATCATTCGTAGTTTTCTGTACGATATTTTAAAATGTATTTAAATGTTTTCATTATTACGCACGCCTTTTCATATGCTAGGAGTAGCATGGTATTAGAACAGATTTGAAAAGCCTTTTAAAGGAAAGAAGAACATGTGAAAAGATTATGTTTCAACAACTGCTGAAACTACTAAGTTCGAAGATCCTGTTCTTAAAATGTAATGTTTAAATTTATATTTTAATTTAAAACATGTAAATGTTATTATTGGACATTCTTTCGACTCTATACCTAATATTTTAGGCCAATTATGTAAAATAAAATAGACTTTTAAAAATATTACTTACTTAGGATTAGTTACATACATACGATTACTATTAGTTACTTACGATACTCATAAAATTTACATATTGTTACCGTAAAAGAGCCAGACTTACCGTAAAAGCAATTTTTGAAAACGTCACAATTCTAGGCTTAAGCTAGATTAATTAGAATACACGTCTTTTCCATAAATTTTTATACTTGTAACATTTATTTTACTGCAACTTCTGTAAGGGTTCCAAGATTCATTAGTTTGTATACAGGTGTGTGTAATTGATTTTAACTACATTACATATGTGCAATTATGTGTGCTTGTATGTTTTTTAGTTATGTATCTAGTCTTAACTGTTAATGATTGATCTGAAAATACATATGTTTCTTTAAGGCGAACCTGGAGAATTGAATGTATGAGTTGATAGTATTTCAAATTCTTTTTAAAGCTTAATATGATTAAAAATCATCAATCAAATTTTGCAGTTGAATGTGATCATATCATGTACACAGATATATCTAACATATAAATTATAAATTAAATATTATATAACATATTTAATCTATAAAACGAAATGACTACTTTTAAAGATTGCCAGTAATCAACACCAAACGAAAAAGTGACGCTGACTGCCGTACCGAAGGACCCGGGTCCAATTCACGGAGAAGGCATGGATGTTTGTAAATGTATGGTGTCTGTGCGGCATGGGGGCATTCTCAATATGCGTGAACTAAAAATTTCTCTCAAGATGTTGGTGGTAGAGAAAGAGAGGTGGAAGACACTCGTACCATTCTCCTTGGTGCTTTCTATAAAAATTGGGGGGGGGGAGGGCCTGAACAAATTCTTACTGTCACCTGTACGTTCCTCAAGACTCTTGCTAACGACAGGCGCAATCATGCATTCCTTGCCACGATGAATTCCGTTGGTTTGTTGTGATGTTACTGTCAGACAAGTGAGTTAGTCACAACAACGACAAAGATGTATTAATTTGATATTAGTAATTTTATTCTTTATTCTGAAATTAATGACCTCTCGAGCATTGAAAAACTGTGCCCTTGAGAATTATAATTTCAAAATCTCTTTGCTCAATAGTAGTATTTTTGCTCTTCGCATAAAAATACTACTATTGAGAATTCAGCTCCGTTTAAGAAAGCAAGGGAAGAATAAACGCATCCAAATGACTTCCGACAGGGCAATTTAATTAATGTGTACAATACGATTCGGCGAACTGATAACAGACTTAATTTACACCTCTGAGAGATGTGGAGAAAGATTCGGGGAGCAGAATGTTAATAACAGAAGTAAAATAAATTCTAATTAATTTCTATAGAAGGGGTTTTCACTTTCAAGTTAAAAGATCGCTAAAGTAAGATAACTTCAGAATGAGCTATCGTATGTTCATCTTGATGTAGAACATAGAACTGAGATTTCGTTTCAATGCTCGTTTTAAAGCTAATCTATAACGAAATGAAAAATAATCTGTAGGTACACAAGTTCTAATACAACTCTTAGTAATAGTTTCTCTAATCCGACCCATCTCCGACGATAATTGTATTGATGCCACTGTTAACGGGGTCAATATATCGCCTGGAATGTACTTTTTCTCTATTATAGTATTTCTTGATCTCATTTAGCAAATCTCTGGTAAAATTGTTAAAATATTTCTTACTTGAAAGTATGGATGTAGAATATTAAATTTTACTTAATTTTCGAATTTTATTAACCAGCCACAGAATTTGGATTTATACTTTCAAAAATTGAAACATACTTATAGGTTTCAACTATCGTAGATTTTAACTTGCGAAACAGATTTTAGTTTAAGAAAAACTATATTTTTAAAAATTTTAAGAGACATTTTAGAAAATAGTCTTAACTTTTGAATTATACATGTATCAGACATGTATCACTGAACGGAAGTAAAGCCTATTATATTTTTCGGCTTCTTTCCCAACAGTTACTTTTTCATGGCAAAAAATTATCTTTCAGATACGGCACCTGTTTCTCAATCAGGAACAATTTAGCCAAAATAAGAAACTAATTTATAAGAATTTACTCTAAACAAGAAAAACCATGATACGCAAAATTAGAAGAAAGTAATTTTTCTTTTCCTCTTCTTTTATAACGCGCCTAACACCAAATTCAATATTCGTCTATCTTGTTTGCTTTTTTAAAATTTTGTTCTACAAATTCGAGTATGATTCTGGTCTGAGGTGTCATTTCTTACTGAAATTATTTGGTTTTGATACAAATGAATGTAGCCCGAATGTAGCAGAAAACGGATACCTTAAGAGTCCGTAATCTGCAGTTTTACAGATATATATATATATGTATATAATACGCATACCAATATTTAATGGTGAAGAAAAATGGGCACGCATTATCTAAAAACGAAAATAAAAGTCTAAAAGGAAAAACATTGCCTCCAGACCTGAAGAACCTGTAAAGAATGATTATGATCAAGATTTAACTTCATCTCAGGGATAAAAGAAAGAAGACGACATTCACCATATGTCGAGAATTGCAGCTCTCTAGGTATCTTTGAAAGTTTAGCCCAATCATTGTTTTTTCGGAGACTATATTTCTAAGCCTGTCTTATATATTTCAATGTTTCTTGTAACAGTAGGAACGGTATTTGAAAACACGGTTAATATTTGTAATTTTCTTGATATTTTTATGCGCATATATTAATGCTTACCTCTAATAATTTATTTAAGTTGAAACATTTAATTATCTAAACTTAATTATTAGCTGCTTTTGGTTTTAATTTTTATCCCTCCTAATAATTCTTTTACAAATTTTTCGACTTTTTAAAGGACTATTCTGAAGTACTGAGGAATAGGTAAATACATGATTAGAGAGACAGCCTGCCTAGCTTATAATTATAAGAAAAATAACAACACAATATCATTAACATCCAATAACAGAGCGAAAAACGTTCCACCAAATAACTTTTCATGAAGAGGAAACCTGTTGTAAGTCTTATAATTTGTAATATTTGTCAATAATGTCAGGCATAAGTGTTCTCTGCAAAAGCGTTTCAATGGTTTCATACTTTCTTTAAATATATATAGCATTGCGTTTTTCAAAATTGAATATACTATAAAATTCAGGAAAATTACACCAATTTGACTTTTTTCCTGTTATTATTTTTTACAGATCATTATTCATTTTCATCTCGCTCTTATTTGTTTATTCCTAGCAGTTATTTTCAAAAAGCTAATAATTTTATAGTTTTAAAATATACGGCAGCGTGTGCAGTGAAGTTCGACAAAACTGAAAATAAAACTGGTGAAATCTCGCTAGGCCTTTGCCAACATCTTGCTGTGTACCTGGGATAAAATTTATCTTTATTGCTGCATTTTTTTTTATCATTTTGTGTTAACATTTTAATGTTCCTAGATTAGTAGCAGTGCATTGTTCCTGTTCTAAGCCCTCAAACAGCGCCGATTCGAAAATATCGCAATTTAGTATTTGATCGCAACAATGATAATCGCAACAATCGGATTCATTTGATATCGGTTATTTATTAATAAATTTAATAAATCATATTCTTGTAACTGCCTTTTATCTGTAGCACGTGTATGAAATAATATTTTATGAGTGATGAGGTATTTTCTCCCTCCTTTCCGCTTGCCTACGTGGTGTAATTGGACGCATACTCGACGCGTATTCAAGTTCTGGGGTTAGAATTCAGGCGAGGGCACTGCACATTTTTTTTCGTCTCCAGCTTCTAGGGCGGGGGGCAAAAATCTAATGACTCTGTACAAGTAGATCCCGAATAGTCACCACCACCAGGGTTCGAGTCACGGCGTACTGTACATATTTCATGCCTTCGGATTCAAGAAAAGCCTACTGACTCTAAACGTGTGCGTAAAATGACGTCGAAAATGCAATCATATGAAACTGAAACACCCTTTATAATTTATTAAAAATATTGGAAATTATGGAAGAGAATCATACATGATTTTCTTATGGATATATTAATACTTTGTTATGCATATATTAATACTTTCATTTGGATACACGAATATTCATATATCCATAAATTCTCATAAATTACTTTAACCTTTTCATTTATTTTGAACTTCATGCATTATTTAAATGATTAAAGTATATAATTTTAATAATATGATGGAGTAGCTAATATCTTCTTAGAAGCATTTTGTCCTCTTAATTTACTTCAAATGTCTAACTTACTGCACTTATAGCATATTTAATGCAGAGTTAATTTGTTATATACGCAGAAAAGAGCTGTAATAATGTAATATTTATGAGAGAATAGCAAAAACTCCTATTAAGCCTAACAGAAGAAACAATATTTATTTTTTGGTTTTAAACCGCTCACTGTATGCTTCAACTGCAAGTAGAATCATTTACATAAAAAATGTCAGTTAATAAGGTCATCAATCAACCTTGTTTCCCTTCAAATGCAAACGAATTCAAAGCAGTAAGTTTTAAGTTATTCTTTCTTTTAAATTCATTGGATATATTAACATATATATCCTTGAATTATTTATTTATTGGATATATAAAAGGATAACAAAATTTGAATAGAATCGTTCTTGTACTTCACTATAGAGCTAGCTAGTATAGTATATTTCATTACAAAAATATTTCACAATTGCAAATTTTGTGCAATGCTTTTTAAGAGTAATGATGCTTGAAGTTTCATAAGACCTTACCTCTTTGTTACCTTTTATTAGTTCGTCATTTATATACCAGTGTAAAGTAGCCGCTGGTTTTGACTTCGAAGATGTGCAATTCACGAAGACTACATCGCCTACTCGATACTTCATAAGACCACCCGTTATCCTTGGACCTTCTGTTGGCAAAACTGAAATGAGAATACTGATTTTAGAAGTGTATATCAGGTAATTGCACTTAAACAAAAAATGTTATGTAATTAAGGGTATGGTATGAGAGTGACAACCCTGCGAAATTGCATCACTCTCGTACATGGTATCTTGAAACTAAGAGGAAGCGAAGAAGGAGGAACACATAGAAAAATATGAAAACAGAGATTGTAGGCAATGACACTAGAAGAAGATTAACTTGGAACTAACGTGTTTGTTTAATTTTTATGAAGTAGTATAGTTAACTGATTGGGTAGAATGTCAATTTTTTTTATGTCTGGCTGTGATGAATGGTGTAGTCTGCAATATTTTGAGAATATCTAGTGTGAAAGAGTATAGGAATGATTGGAGTGGCATAATTAGCGAAATGCTGATAAAGTGTCTTGTATAGTTTACCTGAGAATACCAAAAATATATATAAAAGGATGACAGCTTGTTTATATGACACAATATACTTATTCAAGAAAGAGAACTCAAATACTTCTAATCTTTGGTCTCACATCTGGAAGGCGCTGATGTCACCAGACGAACATGGTAATGGCAGTGTAATAATGCCCAGCCCTGTCTGACTGCATACACAAAGAAAAATATTTACTGATGCAATGAATTGACTGATATTTAAAAAGTTATCGTTCTGAATGAAATAAAGCCATCTAACGAAACGAGATAACAGAAACCAGATTTCTTTTAATGACAGTTCCTATTCTCTCATCTAGCTCATAACAATTGTGTCAATTATTCTGAAATCTCATAATAACTTTGAAATGATGCATGGTGATGCATGGATGCAGTACAACATTATGCGGTGATCACCACACTACTGTTTGTGCAGAAATTCTTGCATTAACAATATTGCGAGAGATTTTTGGAAAGAATTACAGCGAAAATTTTACAAAACCATACTTTTTTTCTTTGCAAGGAAAGTGCATTTGCTGTCTTGCCTGAGAACGCCAAAAGTAATGCACTTGCAAGGAATTTATTATTAGGAGTTCTCAATCGCTTATCATGCCTCCGAAAATTAAACCGTGTTAATGGTAACATTTTCTGAAATTAAAAGAATAATGAAAGATTAGCAAACGAAGAACTTCTACTAAGCTTAAATCTGTAGTAAGTTAAAATTGCTAAATATGATTGTCTTGCTAAATTATGATTGTCTTAAAATTAGAAAAATTAAACTGAAGGTATAAAAATTTACTATTATCCACAAATGCCACTATTTTTAAGCCCAGATTATGTGTTACTACCTTGTCTTCTTTCCATTGTATATACAGATAAAAGTTACTCATTTTTTAAACTCAGCTAAATTTGGTATTTCTTCCTCTTCAGACTGAAAGTAGAGGAGTAGAGATACACAATGTAATTTTTAAAAATTTATCAGACTCAAGAAAACATGTTTAAATAAAAGATTTTTTTTTAACTACAACATAACTTGAAAAAAGGATTCAGAAGTATAAATTTAAATTTATTCATAGGAAGGAAGCTCGATACCTTGCAAGATAAAACGGCTTTTCTAAAAGACAACATGCTACCCCCCTTTTTTCAGGTGATTAACCTTTTGCTTGTGAATTATGTTTGTAAATTTAGAAATTCCGAGTAAAACGTTGACTCTGTTACGAAAGCAGACACTTCACTTTCATTTGAAGAAATTGGAAAGCGCATCAAACTTATTAAAATTGTCAATGCAATTGTCTTACAAAAGCCATAGAAGAAAAGCATGGAAAGTGGATAAAAAGCAAGCTCTTGACTCCGAGAAGACTTTTTTCATATTATCAGCGGAGGTACAGCAACCTACGTATGAAAATATTACTACTTAAAACAAAAGTAATTTCTCTTTCTTCTCATAACATTTTATCCTGATTATAGGAAACTATTTGCCGTTCATAATAAAAAAATTATAGGTATTTCGAAATGTTTGGACGTTTAGTTTTCCTGCAGTAAAACTATCTAGAAACAATGACGTAAGTTAGATTAGATTGATTGCGTAATTTTTTTTATTGTTAATTGACTTATTTCACTTCTTAAAATACGTATGCAATTTATTTTAATTGTGTCTCAAATAAAACAGCTTTAAATATTCTGTAATTTTTTATCTATTCTCGAAAATAATTTTACATGAAACCAAAAATTTAACCAAGAAAAAACCGCTTTTTATATTTTGGAGACAATTTATAATCGTATAAATTGGTAGGTGAGTCTTTCCTCTCGTTAAATTTTAAAGTGTCTCAGTTTTTATCTGGTCACGGTAAATTTGCAAGTTATCTGTTTCGTTTTAATCTACGATCAAACAATTATGTGAATGTTCAAAAGAGTTCCTCAGGATGTGAAACATTTGATTTCTTGTGTGCCCTACATTTGATGGCCCTAGATTATGCTTACGAACGATTTGAAAATGTTCGGAGTGACTTGCCATGAACTTATCTGTTTTCGTTGAAGTCCAGACTGCTGTTTCTCTGCTTTTGTTCGCTTTATTTATGCATGTAATTTTTAATGGTTTATTTATCATGTAACCTTTAATGTTCTAGTTAACTTACTTCTGTAAGCCCCGTGTTGTACATATGTGGTGCACGGGGAGTCTGTATGTTCTCAAAGAAAAAAAAAAAAAAAAAAGGATAAAATAAACATAAATAATGAATAGCCTAGTGTAAGACTAATGACACAGTCTCCTTCCAATATTTTATTCACGTATCAATTGGAATATACTTTCTTTTCAGCCCAAAGGGCGTTAGACCAGAAGGGCTATTAATTTCGTTTTGGCATTTCGCGTTGAAAACTTGTCGGTTCACTTTTCAAATTATGGCCACCAAATATTATTGCCCTGTGTTATATTTACAGAAATTAAATAATGAAGAATCGGGATAAATGTATGTATGTTTCTCGCACTGTGATAAAACAACGGTACCTAGAGCCACCAAATTTTGAATAACGTAATCTTCCACCGAAAATATGGGCATTTGGAATTTGTTTTATTATCGACTTCATGTTTTGCAACACTTCAACGAATTTTTCATTAAAACGATTTCAAAGCGAGCAATGGCAACACTGTACGGAAAAAAAAATATCTCTCATTCATCAACATCAACATTATTTCCAGCGTTAGAGACTGTGTATCGGAAATTCTAAAGGTATGCTCATTTTAAAATTATTTCGAGATACTGCTGTTGAATTGAACTTTGTAGTTTAAGTACAAAGAACATGATATTTAATAAGTAAAGGTTACACACAAAAAGTTGAAAAAAAGTCCCTTTGGACTTAACGTAAAATCTGAAGGCTTTCGGTTTTTTATTTATTTATTTTTTATTTTATTTTTTTTTTTTTATTTTTTGGTTACATTTTGCTAGGTAAAGATTTTTTTAGAAAAATCGTTTCAAATATCAGATTATACAGAAATGGATAACAAAAGAGAGGATGTCTTATTGTTCAGTAAATAATATACAGTGTTAAAAGAGTATTTGCTATTTTCTATAATGTTTCAAGTAATAAATGATCAAACATAGTTTAAATTATATCAAACAGATACACTATTGTTAAATAAAATACAAATTAGGAACTACATAAATTATTTTTAAAGCGATTAAGTTCTTGGAGTTTAATAATGAATGATGTGAAGAAACGAAAAGTTTAGAGATGTGCCTTAAGTTAAAATAAATAAAAATAATTTATAGATACTGGACACTTAGAAATTCCGAAGAAACGAAACGGTTATAGATGTACCTAAAGTTACATTTAATCCAAAAATTTAATTATTTTGATAAATTAGAAGTTATGAATTAGAAGTATGCATTTTTAAACACAAATGAAAAAATAAGGTTGGGATTATTGTAAAGGTTACGTGCTTAAATGAGTTCCGGTTACCCTATGACTACTATTATAATTTCGTTTTATGTTAACTATCTTTCAAAATTTAAAGCTCCCATGATTTTCCGGTTTTTAATATAACAAATCTGAGTCATTAAGATTATCCAGTAAAAACTGATCCACTTTGAAAAGTTTAGGGCTGCCATTAAGAATTTCAATTAATTTTTAGTTTTAAGCGAATCCTTTTTTATTGCTTTTGGTGAGCATAAATATTAATTTTATTCACAAAAGTACCACAGTTTGTTGAAGTAAAACTACTAATCCCTCAATAGCTTATTTTCTTGCTACATTATGCTTTAGCCTAAAATGAAGAGAAAAAATATATAATTCATTATTACATCACACGCGAAACTGAAATAAATCCTAGCACTCGTTTATCATAGAAAATTCAGAATAGGGCATTGGTGTTCTTTTTTCCTAAACATGACGCGAATTATGCTAAACTTCTTTGCTTTAAGCTTCGTCACGCATTAATTATTTATATATTATATGGTAGTATGTTTCAGCTATTCTTCCAAAATGCAAATTTTTCTTTTTCTAAGGTTTCTGGGAAGTTTACGAGCTCAGCCGCCAAACGCAATAAAATGATTTTCTAGCAAACTTAGTAGGCACAAATATTCAGAAGTATTTTTATTAAAATTGATAATGAATATTTAATGAGAAACTTATAATATTTATTTAAATCTGCTTTTTGGACGCATGGCAGTCAACATTGAACTGTTTGTTCTTAAAGAAGAAATATATTTATGATTATTTTGTAAACTCTTTACCTAAAGCAGTGTAATGTTATATCATAAGGGAAGACATTTTCTAAATATTTCCTAAATATTTCGAAATGAGAAATAATGTACACCTCTCCATCAAAACTAGAGGCGGAACTAGGAACATCAAAACTAGGAGCGAGGTCGTACTGTCCCTGTAGGGTGCTCTTGCCAGGGACAGGCGCAATCTTGCACTCCTTGCCACGATGAATTTCGTGGCAAGGAGTGCAAGATTTCGGCTTGTTTTGATGTTACTGTCACATAAATGAGATAAATCACAACAACAGCAACAAAAATAACTTAAACACTTAATTAAATGAATTAAATGAATTTTTTAATCATTCAGTTTACTTGATCTTGCTGCG